TAGTAGTAGTAGTAGTAGTAGTAGTAGTAGTAGTAGTAGTAGTAGTAGTAGTAGTAGTAGTAGTAGTAGTAGTAGTAGTAGTAGTAGTAGTAGTAGTAGTAGTAGTAGTAGTAGTAGTAGTAGTAGTAGTAGTAGTAGTAGTAGTAGTAGTAGTTCTAGTAGTAAGTAGTAGTAGTAGTAGTAGTTTAGTAGTAGTAGTAGTAGTAGTAGTAATAGTAGTAGTAGTAGTAGTAGTAGTAGTAGTAGTAGTAGTAGTAGTAGTAGTAGTAGTAGTAGTAGTAGTAGTAGTAGTAGTAGTAGTAGTAGTAGTAGTAGTAGTAGTAGTAGTAGTAGTAGTAGTAGTAGTAGTAGTTGTAGTAGTAGCACTTGTAGTAGTAGTACTTGTAATAGTAGTACTAGTAGTAGAACTAGTACTACTAGTAGTAGTAGTAATTGATGTAGTAGTTGCAGTAGTAGCTGGAATAGTACTAGTAGTTTTTAGTAGTAGTAGAAGTAGTAGCAATAGTAGTAGTAGTAGTAGTAGTAGCTAGAATAGTACTAGTAGTATTTAGTAGTAGTAGTAGTAGTAGTAGTAGTAGTAGTAGTAGTAGCTGGAAGAGTACTCGTAGTATTTACATAGTAGTAGTACTAGTAGTAAAAGTAATAGTAGTAACTGAAGATGCAGTAGCAACAGTTTTATATCATATCAGATTTTTATTTTTTACATTTCTGAGTCAGTTTTTTCGATTTTCGGGTCGATTCTTTTTAATCTTCTCTTTTGTATCTGGTTTAAATCCTGGTCATGTTTTCCTTTTATTTCTCGCTCGTGTATTTATCGCTCGGTGTAATAAGATCAGAGTTGAATTGTCCGCGTCACCGGCGGCGACGCCACGAATCGAAAACCCCCAATCTCACCAACGTCTCACAGAACAGAAATCTTAAAGCGGCTATTGATTCTTCTCGCCGCTAATACGACCGAACGTCTGTAACTCGTCTATTTTCTCACTAAATCGCTGGATTAGATTGAAGCGCGCGGCCAAAATCCTCTACAAAGATCTGGGCAATACACGGGCCTAGATCCGGAGGAAACTGGCTTAGAAAAAAAGCCACAGAAATGATGTGTTTTTTGTGCGAAAAGGAGGTCGCCGCAAAAGAACGTCGGTGGCGGGAAAAAGTCCAATTCGCTAAGAGGAGATGACAGAGATTATTCTTGCCTTTATGTGCATTGTCGAAGCGCTAAATGATAAGACCGCCGCGCCGTTCCCCAAAGGATTTCAATTGTCTGAGCTCAAGACATCACCAGCTCGGCTAAAAAAAAAAAAAAAAAAAATCAACTCCCCCCTTTTATTCTCGTTTTCGCCGCCACCAAAGTGATTTTCCCCCCGTGAAGGCTTTTGTTAAACCCACTGGGAGCACTTCACCGACGGCTCGTCTTCAGAGCACAAACGCCGACTGACATTTTGATGGAAGAAAGAACAAAAAAAAAAAAAAAAGGACTAAACTAAACCAGGACTAAACCAGGTCTAAAAGCAGGACTAAACTAGGTCTAAACCAGGTCTAAAACCAGGACTAAAGCAGGACTAATCCAGGACTAAACTAGGACTAAACTAGGGCTAAAACCAGGACTAAAACCAGGACTAAACTAGGATTAAACCAGGTCTAAAAGCAGGACTAAAGCAGGTCTAAACTAGGACTAAAACCAGGACCGAAACCAGGACTAAACTAGGACTAAACCAGGACTAAAACCAGGACTAAACTAGGACTAAAAACAGGTCTAAACCAGGTCTAAACTAGGACTAAAACCAGGACTAAACCAGGATTAAACTAGGACTAAAATAGGGCTAAAACAGGGGTGGGCAAACTTTTTGGCTCGGGGGCCACATAGGGTTCTAAAATTTGACTGACGGGCCGGACAGAAGACGGAACATGACGTGTTCAGAGCCCGGCTCCATTGCACTCGTATTTACCCTCATGTAGGACGCGCTGCAACTTTCAGACATGTAAGTTCCAGAACTCACAAAAAGTGAAATGATGTCTGCCCCACTGCACAACAAAGGCAAACATGTGTCCCGAGCACTAAGACTGAGCGCATAGACATTATACAGACTTTTTCTATTTCTATTACAGTGAATATGGGTTTTATGACTTCGTTTTACACAGCTTTTTACATAGAAGTGGAAACAGTGCAGCCTTGTGTCTTGAACACTTCTACCTCATTCATGGTCCGAATACACCGCCCGAAATGACTCCTGTCAATACTTTCCCATAAAGCATTGCGGCCAACAGAAGACGCCGCACCTCAATGCGCCATCTACCGGGAAACGCCGGAAATGCAAGAAAGATAAAACAGCAGTAAGGTTTATTTATTATAATTTGGTCAAGTTCTGTGGGTCAGTTTGAACGGCTGCATAAGGTCACCGGGCACTAAATAACTGGATACAGTATTGCTGCTTGTATCTGCCTCCAGTTGACGTAGTGACTCGCTGGAACTTCAGCAGAAAAAATCCCATGGGCCGAAACAAGATTTTTCTCATAGAGGCAATGTGATCACAAACTGCTCGTGTTCGTCTGACATCATCTACAGCTTTCAAACATATCGGATTTGTTGGCGATTTTTACCTATTTTTAGATCATAAACTTTTTCTCGCTCAAAATCCTTCAGTTGTCTTAAAAAAACGCTTTATATTCGTTAGCTCCGGCTACGCTCTAGCTCCTCTCGCTCTGATTGGTCAAAACGATCACGTGATACACGAGCCCGCGCTCCGTGCGTGTGGTCGCGTGCATTCGCGTGTGCCTGTGGGAGAAAAGAGCACTACTGCGCATGCTCGGTCGGCCCGCAGCCACCGGAAGTACCTAGCCATGCTAGGCTAATCTGTAATCATGCGCCATTGAGCTCTGCACATCAATTTGAATGGGCGGCCATTTTGGAACCTGGGGAGCCTGGCACTGGCTCTACGACTTCTGCATTAGCAAATCTCACAGAGGTTCTGACTGACTCACATATCAGGAAGTATTAAAATATACATGAAACACCTTCACACAGAGAAGTTACTGAACTTTGCTCCGTATGTCGTGTTTCTCAAGATGAATTGTGCATTTCTGAAATTTAATTTTGTACATCCTTTGATCTGAATTAGTGCAGTCTTATGTCTTGAACACTTGTACCTCATTCATGGTCCGAATACGCCGCCTGAAAATGACTCCTGTCAGTACTTTCCCATAAAGCATTGCGGCCAACAGAAGCCCCCGCACCTCAATGTATATATAGTGCGCCGTCTACTGGGAAACGCCGGAAATGCAGGAAAAATAAAACATTAACAAGGTTTATTATTATTTGTTCAAGTTCGGCGGGCCGGATTAAAAGGTTTAAAGGGCCGCATATGGCCCCCGGGCCGTAGTTTGCCCATCCCTGGGCTAAAACCAGGATTAAACCAGGTCTTAACCAGGACTAAACCAGGTCTAAAAGCAGGACTAAAGCAGGACTAAACCAGGACTAAACCAGGATTAAAACCAGGACTAACTCAGGACTAAACTAGGACTAAAACCAGGACTAAACCAGGACTAAACCAGGACTAAAACCAGGACTAAAACAGGTCTAAACCAGGACTAAACCAGGATTAAACTTGGACTAAACTAGGGCTAAAACTAGGACTAAACCAGGTCTAAACTAGGACTAAACTAGTCCACGATATTATTGTGAGAACTTTGACGATACGATATCCCAATATTTCAGTTATTGTTACATCTCTAGTAAATAAACTATAACACAACGACATCTGAATAAAATCGAGATCCAATCATTTATTACAAAGTCTTTTAAATGGACAATCCTCTGTCAGTAAAAGCGTGTGGTTTGGAAAACATTTTGCCACTTTCTTCGCTTCATGGAGATGTTATTGTGTTACCTAAAATGTTCCACAGTATGGCATTAAAGGCGAAACTCAGTTAAAACAAAGCAAAAATAAATATGTGTAATGCCGTACTGACTTTTCCTCTTCAGAGTCTTTTATCAAATTTCAAAATACTGTTCTGTTCTGTGGGAGGCTTCATGCAGCATCAGTGATTATGTAAATAAATAAAATATGACTTTTATTTCATGATGACAGATCCTGAAATGTTTTAGAGACAGATGAGGGTGTGGAGACAATAGAAGTGCAATCATCAAATCTTTTTTGTTTCAACGTGCAGCCGGCGTATATCTTGGTAAATTGCACCATCTAGTGGCCGCACGTGGTATAGCAGTTTTTAAAAATTAATTCCACGAAGATTTAAAACAATTAAACACTTACATTTATTATTATTATGTATTAGTTTTAGTATAATGACTAAAAATATATTTAAAAATGGGGAAGAAAAAAAAAAAAGAAATGCCTTTAAAATTATGATTTTAGTTTGTAATAAATAACAAAAAAATGATGAAAGGAAATGATGATGATGAAAATAATATTAGTTTAAGTACAGGGACTAAAAATGTTTATTTAAAAATGGGAGAGGAAAAAAAAAAAGAGGAAGAAAGACAGAGAAAAACAATTGTAAGGGGGCCAAGCGGTGTTTTTAGGTTTCACTACCAAATTACTTTTATTTTATTTATTTATTTAATTTGTGCCGGTGTGTCTGGTCAGGGGGAAATGGGGGATTTTTTTGTTGTTCTGTATTTGTTGTGGGTGTTGCTTTATGTTTTATGCTGATTATTGTAATTTGTTAAATGTTGACTTGTTTTTTTTTTTGTTTGTTTGTTTTTTTAAAATTATATTCTGTTGTCCTTTAAAAAAAACAACAACAAAAAACACTTATGTATTTTATTTTCATTACATATATCAAAGGAGTGATAGCCTTCTTTAAAAATGCCAAATTATTATTATTATTATTATTATTATTATTATTATCATTATTATTATTACGTGTAGGAATTATAAACTTTAAAAATAAATATTTTTACATTTTTGTTTTATTTTTTATTTCGGTCCAGGCGCCGCAGTCGAACCCGGGTCTGACGCACAGGACGTAGAGTCGATCACAGA